TAGGGTTTCACTTAACTAGGGCTTATTTTGGGGGTAGGGCTTGTATCACGAGCATCCTGAAAAGTCATACTAGGGCTTATTTTCAGGTTAGGTCTTATTTTAGGGGAAGCAGAGTATGTATAATGACCCAAATTCTGTTGCTTAGTGTAGTAAATCACACTAGAGTGGGCCCACTGAAGCAATGGAAATTTGGTGTGTCCTCTGTATATTCTATTGATTCAAATGGGGCTATTCTAACTGCAACTTACTTTAACAAAATGTGAAGAAACTAGGAAGCATGAAACATAGAATTCATTTACTGGAAGTTTCTATGCTTCTTTGTGGGTGCCTGGGAAGTTTTCTGAGCAGGCAGAAGGCTATGAACAAAATGATAATTCACACTTTCAATTGACCTCCTGTTAAAGAAAGACTCAGAGGGCATGTCAAAGCTGCACCAAAAGGGATCTAACACTTCTACTTTAACTTTAGACCTAAAAAGCCAGCTTCGTTCTGCTGTCATGTAAATCAGAGATGGGGCAAAGCAAGAGGAGGAAGATGCTTTTATGTTGTTGTTTTTAAGGAGGGGACATGAAAGAAGGTTTTTAAAATGTTTATTAAAATTAAATTGATACAAGACAAAATATAACACACTACTTAAAAAAACCTGCAAAGCACAAAAATACAGCACAGTAATACAGAGGATTAAGATGTTGTTTACAGGTGTGGAAAACCTTGTTAATTGTATAGAAGGGATTAGGAAAACTAGTTAGATACCTAGCCTCTTTCTCCAGAGAATGTGTTTTGCTCATCCTCTGTTCTTCGATGGGGCTCAGTCTCACTCAGGCGATTTTGTCTGTTTGTCATCCTATGAAGCGAAGCCAGCAAAAGATGCACTTTGTGCATGTTCTATAAACACACTACCACTCTGCTAAGATATGAGTATTAGGCAGTCTATCCTTGTTTTTGTCATTTTTGGTGTATTTCTTTTGAACTGCCTGAGATTGCCCCTGTAGTTTGCTACAAATATCTTTTGCAACCTTTTTGTAACATTTTGGAACCCTTGTCCTTTTAACTTTTTTTTCTTTTAATAAAATACAAAAATCCCTTCAAGCAGCTGTCTGGGTTTTAGGTTGAGAAGGTTTATGTTACTAAAACCAGGTCTTGCTTTGACTAAACTATTGGGATTATGGTGTTTGTGTGGGTGTGGTAGAAGCTGTATCCTTGCAAAGAAGACACATTTTTTCTCAGTGCCTCATGTTGTGGATTTTGTTTTGAACTTCCTGCAGAGAATACAATCTGAGAAAATGGGAGTGTTTGGGAGAGACACAGTCTCGGTCAGGCTCCATAGTCACCACCACCACTGACACTTACCTGGACTCAGCTACCTCAGGAAAAGCAAGAGTAGTGTCACAAAAGGGCTATAGAGGGGGTTCCCTTGACCAGGAATCCATCACATACAAAAACCAGAGTTGACTAAGCCTGTTTGAATCCGTGAAATTTATTGGGGAGTTAATTCACTAAATCCTCATTGATTTAGCAGACCTATTCTAGTGTGATTTACTATGCTTAATAACAGGATTTGGGCCATTAAATATTCTATACCAAATCTGGGCCATATTTTATTTATTTATTTATTTATTTATTGCATTTATATGCCGCCCATCTAGACATGGTCTACTCTGGGCGGCTCACATATGAGAAATTAAGTTGAGATTGTTGTTATATCCTGTCAAGTCTTATCCAACTAATGGTAAATGTACTAGTTTCCAAGGTACCCTGTTTCCCTGAAAATAAGACCTTACCTGAAAATAAGCCCTAGTATGAATTTTCAGGATACTAGTAATATAAGCCTTACCCCAAAAAATAAGCCACAGTTAAGTGCAGCAACCAGAAGAAGATGACATGACTATATCTGAATAAATGTAGATTGTTATACATGAAAAAAAAATCATCCCCTGAAAATAAGCCCTAATGCATTTGGAGGAAAAGTTAATATAAGACCCTGTCTTATTTTTGGGGAAACATAGTAATTGAGATATTTGTAGAATGCTTTTACCATTGTCACTGAGTTTCCATGGCTGAGCAGGGAGATTGTTGTTTTGTGCTGTCAAGTTTTACTTATGGTGACCCCTCACAGAGTTTTCTGGGAGTGCTCGGAAGTGATTTACTATTCCCTTCTTCTGGGGGCATTCTGGGACTATGGCACTTGCCGCCATGTAGGCTGGCTCTTCCGGGATGCACAGTGGGGAACTGAACTCTGAACCTCTGCCTCTGCAGTCAGAAACCTAACCTAAGCTATCCAGCTAGCCAGTAGATGAAATTAAATTATGGCAAGTTATGTCACCTTTCAGCCACCTAATACATTATTAATGTTTAAGTCCAAATTTCTTCTTTTCCTTGCTAGTAAGATTGGCCACACTTACCTTAGGCCCTTCTTCTATAACCTATTTGGAGACTGCATGGTTGACTGACTATCCCACTACAATCAATCCCCTAAACCAAACACTATCTGTCCTATGTGGAAAGATAGTCAGGTTCTTTGCCTCTTAGATCAGGCAGAAAATATGATTACCAATATAGGATCATTTGGCCTTCCTGCAAACAAATACGATGACCCTCAATTAGTTCATTACCAGCACTAGTGCCATGAAAACAATATTCAATGGTTCAGTATTCCTGAAAATTATATGATTGTCCTACTTCTTACAGGGAGGGGGAAATAGCTATACTTCATAATGGTCTGGAGGACAGAGGAGGAAGTATCAATGTACTTAGCAATGACATAATGAAGCACCATCCAATAAGAAGCCATGACACTTCACCACCTCTCCCCCCCCAAAAAAAAAACCCAGTATATTATTTTACTATTAAAACTTTTGTTTCCAATAGCTATGGTCACTACTAGTCATCTCTGGAAACAGTATTACAGCAAAAACAGGAGCATTGTCAGCAAAGGCATTTATCTGGCTCAACTACAACTAAATGCAACCCGGGAAAATCACAGCAACTTGAAAGTCTATAATAATTATAACTCCAGTACTCCATAAACAAACCAGTTCTGATCATTCCTCAAATAAAGTTTAAATATCTCCAGCTTCTTCAGTGTTTTATCAAAATACAAAAGAAAAAAAGTTAACAGATCTTTCTCAATGACAAATCTGAACCTTGCAGTATGCGGGGTGTGGAGGATTTTTACACTTACACAGATATACTCTATAAACAAAGGATCTGTACACAGCACAGGTTCAGTTCCGATCAAGACTTTTTGCCACCTTTATGGTTCTAGGTATCCACCTCCCACAAACATAAGAACAAATCAAGTAAATTTCTCTTAAGTAATTAGATTAGAAATTCTTATCTGAGTATACTCCCCAAGAGATGGTAACTTTGGCTTTACAACTAATTTTCACCACCTCTATACTTTCTGAAGACATTTCGCACAAGGAATTGTTCTGGCTTCAAACAAGTCACAATTTAAATGAACTAGAGTTCCTGAGTTTGGACAGGGAACTATAATTATTCTAGAAAAAGTGAATGCTCCTGCCTCCTCTGTAGAAAAGCACATAGGACCAAGATGTGTGCTGGCTCATCTGTATGACAGCAAGTTGTCGTTTAGTCGTGTCCGACTCTTCATGACCCCATGGAGCATGCCAGGCCCTCCTGTCTTCCACTGCCTCTCGGAGTTGGGTCAAATTCATGTTGGTTGCTTCGATGACACTGTCCAACCATCTCATCTTCTGTCCTCCCCTTCTTCTCTTGCCTTCACACTTTCCCAACATCAGGGTCTTTTCCAGGGAGTCTTCTCTTCTCATGAGACGGCCAAAGCATTGGAGCCTCAGCTTCAGGATCTGTCCTTCCAGTGAGCACTCAGATTTGATTTCTTTTAGAATGGATAAGTTTGTTCTCCTTGCATCTCAACCAGCTCAGTGCACCACTGGTCTCATTCTGATTGTGACAAGATTTGCTAAAATGGCTCTTTAAGAAACGAGTGGGCAGAAAACAGATCTGAATCTACTGACAGAATGCTAGGTGATTTGCAACAGACTCAGATTCTCAATAATCTAACAACAGCAACAAAATGACTTCCTCTCACACTGAATTACACTACAGAAATTAAAAAAGTTTGGGGTAACCAAGAGTGGATGTGTATGAGAGAGAAACACTTAGTTCTGGTGATTTCTGCTCAGTATTACCTAATTCTAACTTTCTGTCATTTGCTCCAAGCTTTGGTCAGTAGACAGAGGAATCTAGTAAAAAGCAGAGTACATCCCACAAAACTTACATTTGTGCATCTCTTCTTTCTGTAACTTCCCCCTAATCCTACTGCCACAGTTGATTAATGTCATAACAATGAAATAAGGGTGAGGAGGAATACCTGCTACAAAGGAGCATACCTAGATTTTGGAGATGCAACTTCAAGCATAACCAACAACAACAACAAAAAGGAGAAATAGTTGGCATAGAACAAAAAAGACATATACATACTCCATGGAAAAGGAGGACTCTAAAATCCCAAAACCTTCAAAGATCTAAGCTTGTTTCTCCCTACAAATATACACTAATAAATATAAGTGAGGGAAATCAACTCTCTCTTTCACAGTAACTATCTTGTGTCAAAATTACAGAAATGTTCTTCTTCCTTGAATCCTATCTCTGTTTCTCATGGACAGATGAACTGCTAAATACAAGGAGTGTCTTATTCATCACAAAACAATCCTTTAACATGACCAGAGGAAGATAGCCTATTAACATTTACCTGTGGAGATCATCTAAAGTAGCAACTGTGGAAAACATATTAACTTTAGGCAAAGAAAATTACTAAAACATTTAAAATAAGTAATTTGAAAACTGAATGCTAACTTCACTCACCATTTTCTCAGGGTCCAGAGCTCCAGATGCAGCAACTGAAAGCTCAAGTTCCTTTTCACTAGACAAAAGAAACATATATACACAGTTGTAGTCTAACAACATCTGGCGATCCAGAACACTTCCAGCTTGTTATGATCAATAACCTTTACTCTCTCACTTAAAAAGTAGTTAAAATTACTAAACAGTTCTTCCATATTCCAATTATTTCCAAAGAAAAACAAAAAACATGGGCAATTTTTCTTGGTGTTTTTGTCCAACTCAGCAACCCTCTATTCAGCCTGGTGACGTGCAGGGTCATAGCCATGCCTCCTGCTGTCACCAGCTCTCTGGTAGCTTAGCTGGGATGGCTTTATTTGCAGCCAAAGCTATGACTGGGCTGCAACACTTGAGGAGCTATTCTTGAGACCATATGACTTCAGCAGAAGCCAACTTTGCTCCCCACACATGGTTGGGAAAGGAGAAGCAGGAGGGAATGGGGGTAACAATTATTCTTCTCACTTTACTCTGGCAAAAGATGGAGCCTGGAAAGGGTGTCCTTCAATGGGAAATTCTGCAAGTTGAAAGCGTTACTCCTGTTGACAAGAAAAGACCCAGGCACCAGAGTTTCCCATCTCCTGCTCTCAAAGAACAATGTAAAGAAAACCAAAGAGGCTGATCCAGTAAGCTTCTCCTGGTATGCAAATATATAGCCCATGGTGCCTATGAAACATTCAAGGTTTTCTTAAGCATTACACATAACCATCTATATTTATAGTTTCCATGTTTGAAAAAACTGTCGTCATGCTAGAGTGGGTGACTCTTTAAGAAATGCATCCAACGTTTGGCTACATACACTAGTTAAACACCTATCTATATTGAAGTCGACAGAGATCTCTGGAGAATTGAGGTAGGCTAAAGAATATCTGGTTCCCAGTGATTTCATAACAAAGGAATAAAAGATTTTTCTCATGTACACTATATGATGAAATTAAGAACGTTTGGGATAGCCAGGAGCCATAGTCAGTTCTTGGACTCACACCATGCCTAGATTCTGTTCTAACTAGCTTGTTTTAAAATTGTGAAAATTCTGGTCAAAAAGTTGTAGGATTAATTCATTTTTCATAGTAAACATAATGTTTTAGAGACAAATGCTGAGATGATTTTATTTTACGGTGTATGTTTTATTTTGGTTTTTTTATTATTGTTGATATTTGGTTTTGATTAATTTTAGTTTATATTGATAGTTGTAATTTGCCATGTAAACCACCCAGAGTGGTCTTGTAGCCGGATGGGCAGTATAGAAACTGAACAAACAAATGATGAAAGTTTCTAGACTCAGAACACTCTGTTACATTACTAGGGTGTCTTAACCCTCCATGCATGATAACTCTGAATTGAGCGTAGGATAATAAGTTTGAGAAACCTGTTGTATCATTTTTCTTCTACTAATTATTAAACTACATTCCTCTCTGGGGGAATGGTTTAAAATCTAGATGGCATCAACAAGTAAAAACAACTTCTAAAATTAGACTGTAAATACCGTATATTACACCATTTTCCTTCAATATTTTTGATAAAAATCTCACTACTAATTATTCACCAACTGAAATTATTATTTGCCCAATAGTCTTCTCTTACCGTCTCCTATTTCTCCGTTGCTCAGCAATTTGCTCCATTAACTCTTGCCTATATTGTTCTTTTCTCTTCTGTATAAATTCTCTGTCTTGACCACCTAAGAATGATAAGCAACAATATGCATAACAACTTCAATCTGAAATTATGCTATAAGGTAGGCATTCTTACTGTATAATTTCACCAAGCATTAGAAACATCAACATATCACCCAACAAACGTCAGTACATCCAAGATAATATCTCTTCCAAAATATTGTTCCCAGTTTCCTCACTTTGAAAGTGAAAATGAACTACAGTACAGCTCTTTTACTGCCTATAGTGAAATCCAGCAGAAGCTGGTATTTAAAAGTCTTACAGAAATTCAGCACCTACTGTCTGTAATTTACAGACACAACTAATTTTCATATTAGTGAAAAGAGCAGCTGAATAATTGGGAAAGAGAGAAGACTACAAAATAATGGAATCAGGTTGTTCTTACAGAATGCTGGCAAAAATAAAGGGGAGAAGGGGGGGAAGCAAAATGTGGTGGCATTTTAACTGACTTCACATACTGATTTCAGTGTGGGATTTTGTGGATCAAATTCCTCCTCTTCAGAATTTAGATCCATAAAAGCTCACGTTGAATAAATCTGTCTTTGCAGTGCTGTAATATTTTCCCTTTTTTTCTCTCCTCACCTCCTTTATTTTTGCCAATGTGCTGAGACAGACCAACATGGTTCTTTGTTTGGAAACGCCTACAGAATACATCTAATGGCCAGTTACCTAAAAAAATGTCCTACATGTCATCTAGACTGGCCACTTTCCTAGAGATCCATTATAGAAACAACAGGCAAATAAAGTGCTAGAAGATTGTGGTTTTCCTTCAACCTTATATCAAAGAAGAAGTAGAAATGCTTTTTCTAACTTTGCATTCTAGTGATTTAATATTTTTTCATCTTTTTACATTACTCTACCCAGAAGTTTTATAAAAATAACTAACTATAGCAAAAATCATAGCAGACAGACATTCAGTACATACCAATTATAAGTCCCGTTGCATAAGGCGCACTACCACCAGCTGACTGTGCCTGCTCATTTGTAGGGGAATTGACTTGACTTCTATAATGAAAGACATGAATAGAAAAGCAACTAAAACAAACTGAAATTATTAGACAACACATTTATGAAAGGAAATCTTCAACCTATTCCTATTCATAGAAACTAATTTGTCCCAACACCTTATTTCAGGTAACTGACGAGTTCCTGAATGAATCTACAGAATCCAAGCTTCAACTTAGCTTCATAACTCCCAGCCTTGTTGAGAAGTCATGAGCATATACAATTACTAATCATGCCATAATGTAGAAGACATCTTCAGCAGGAAAGGTATTACAATATTAAAAAAGAAGGCATTTATCTATGATGCACTACTAGTTTTTTTAATTTATAAAGGCCATGAAATTAGCAAATATGTTTACAGTACTAGTCAAAGAACTTATAAAGATGTATGCTGAAATGTATTTTTAATTGTTCTACAAATTTAGAATTTTAGTGCTTTTTTTACAATGTCCATGCATTGTTCCTACGATTTTTAAAAAAATCTTTTCACTCACTTTACTGTATCTTTTGGCAATGTAAGTACTTACCTAAATGAAGAGGCTCTTTTCAGGACTGTAAAGCTAGTGGGGTGATGCTAGGAAAAGCATTTTCTAAACCACCTTTGCTGGGACTGAGATGAAGCGCTAGAGACAGACGCCACTACTAATGAAATTTAAATGCAGCAATGAGAAAGTTAAGGTTACCTTGGAGTATGAAAAACCCGCAATGGCTTTTTGTCATAGTCACTTTCATATCGAAACCTAGGATCCATTCCTTCATTTATTTCAGGTTCATGACCATCATCAAACTTGTGATGCCTTCTAGCAGATATATCAGGTTTGTCATCCAGCCTTTGGTTCCTTCTGTTGTAAATGTTCAACTTTTCATCAAGCTTTTTGTGCAATATGCTATCCTCACATCCAGTTTCATTATCTGATTTGGGATGTTGGATTAATGATAGTTTCCTATTTGACAGCCCTTCAAAGGTCTCTGTAGATGTACAAGCATCTTTCTTGACCGATTCTTCATCTCTTCTTGGTGAAAAATTCGGCGAATATAAATCTGACCAGATTCTGGTGTCGGTGGTGCTTTTTTGGTGTGTGTCTCTGTCATGCTTTTAATAAAAATATAAATATTTTAAAAACTAAATAAAAAATTATTTTACTATTTTTATTATTTATTTCCTTGTATCAGTTTCAATTAGCTATTTTCACCATCAACATAAAAAAGCAGTTGCTTTAACAAGGAGAGTTTTAAATAAGGCTGTATGGTATTAACTAGTACTTATTAAGTGGCAGTATTATGACTGATACTGTACTAAGTATCACAACAGATGCAGTCTTTTATTTGCTAAATTCATCTGAGGCTTCTTCAAATGCTTCCAATAAGCAAATGGCATTGTGGGTATATGAAACAAAGAGTATTTTCAGTGTTGGTATCTTAATTTTAAACTGTTCTCCCAAGGAAAATCAAATTACTGTAGTGGCAAAGTTAGATTCATTTGGCACCAGATTAGAATTATTTTGTTTACCTGGCGATTTTGACCTGTTAATACCTCAGTGTGCCTATATGATTCTTTTTAGCTGGTTGAAGAGTGTTTTCATTAATTCCACTCAGTTTTGCAGTTCTTTATGATATATTATTTTATGCTTGTAGAACATGCTAGGATCCATTGATGTTTTAAATATTTCAAATACACAAAGAAAAAGCAAGGTGCAATAATGAAAACCATTTTTTTACAACCACTGGGTGTGCAAGCTTGTTTGTATATCTCATGCTCAAATAGTTAAAGGGGGCAAAGAGATAAGAAGAAAAAGTTAAGGGATAAAGCACATTAAGTTCCTTCCAGATAAATATGCAAAAAAATTAAAAAGCTGATTTTACACTGCCTCAAGCTACAAATATTAGCTTGCCCATACTGTCACTGTACTCACAACTCTCAATTTACAATGCAAATACTGTAATGGACTTTAACATGGAAAACGAAGAAGAGACTCGTAAACTACTTTAAAGTATTTTATATCTAGAAAATCCTAATGAGGGTTGTCATAAGTCAGAACTGATTTAAAGGTACATAATTATTAACATGTAAACAGGAAAAGAATTAAGGAAACCTATCCAATTTAACTTTCATCTTAACCATAAATATTGCCCCATTGCTTCTAAAGTATTTAAACAAAATCTATGGTTTACCTCTGTGCGCTTCTTCCCTACTCTTCTTAACCTTTCATTCCACTCCTCCTTTCCCCTGAGATACTGATTGTACTCCTTGTTTCTTTCAAGCCTTAATCTGTCCTAGAACAGATGTTGGAAAGTACATTGGGTATATACTGTAGGAAAGTTTTGCTTAGAATCAAACCCACAAAAGAGTTTTCACTTAGTTTTCATTGGCTTTCCTTTTCTTTTGTTTAACAAATACGTGCTAGAACCTTGCGATAAAGGCTGATAATGTCATCAACCACAGACTTTAAGTTTCAATTTAAACTCACCTATTCTTGCTCCCACATGTTCCAAATATCTCTTCTGACCTGGGTAGCTCTGGACAGAAGCCAGCATTGGGGGAGTCTTTAATATCAAAAAACTACTGCTGCTGTTGACCACAAGTGGTGATTTTTTATATATATATTAAAGGCTCTCCTGCATCATGAAATTCCCAAAGGCTCCCTCAGGTTGAAAGAAGATGTAGGGAGTCCTAGAAACCCTGGGCAGGATAGGAAACTTTAAATCCAAGTTCATGGCTGATGATATTATCAGCTTTTAAACATACAGAGTTGCACATCAGGATTCCTATCATGGTATTAGTATTTTCACTGATAGATTTCACTGTTCAAACTCTAAGATTTAACTTCATCAAAAAGTTCAGACTTGTTCACAATTTAGAAATACTGATACAGCAATAAAGCTGACAAATTAAAACTCAACCAAAATCAGAAAGCTTGATGTAAATTTGAGGGTAATAATTAAATAGCCATAACCATGTTTAGCGGAAAAATATATCATCAGTGGAAAGCAGTATAGTAAGCAATGTTATCATTCAGGTGTTACTATTTCAACAGTTTTACTTAACAAATGCCGGCATCAATGAGACACAGTGGTTGCAACACAAATTGACTTCTATTACATGGAATGAGAAAAGAAAGAATATACAGAGCAGTTTTAGGAATATGCTTCAGAAGGATCTTTTCCTGGTATAATACATAGAGGTTTTAATCTAAAGAGTCATGGAAGAGCTACATATTATATTGCAAACACCACAAAGCATTTACAAAGGTTTTGTGAACTTACCTTGGCAGACTTCCTGTCACCAATTGGAAGAGAAAGCCCCTGAGTATACGGGTCTACTTCACCAGATGTAAGGTATTTTTTCTGCAAAAAAGAAAATGGAGGATTCAGCATGTTTGAGTTGATATAATCATCAAAATTAAGAAACTTTTCTAGTTAATTCAAGCACTTATTTACATCACTTCTCAAATGTTTTATATCATACAATTTTTGCCAAAGCAGCATCCCGTATGTCAGCATATGAGCTTGAACCATGATGAAAGTACTATGAACCACTATTTTATAATTCTATGGCTCGTTTTAATCTAAAGCAGATTTTTAGAAGTCAAATCATGTTATCTTATTCCATGAAAATTACAATGAGTAGCAACAGAAAACATATTAATTTATTTAAGTCCCAAACAAAAAATGCTGCATTTCTACTGCACCAATTCATGCATTTCAAAGAAGAGAAATGAATTGAATAAAAAAAGGACACCATCACATTGAGTATCATACATCACAAATCAATGCATGTGTCCCAGAAATATGTTCATTAGGATTTACACTCTTGGCACAGGATTGTCTTGTTTTCACTTGTGCTTAGTCCACGCACCAACATCAAATAAGAGGGCATAATTAATTTTATTGTTCCTAATTAATGAAAACAATTTATCATGGTAGATAATTGAACAAGAAAATATGAATGTCTGACATGTGATTTTCTTTCAAATCATTGTAAAATTAATCTTTTAAGTCAACCCAAACTGATGGCACCATTATGCAGTGATTCATCAATATCAGCATGCCCTGTAGTACAGACCCATGCTATTAAAGTCAACACAAAGTATCAATCCACCAGTGAAATCACATACAAAGGAGAAGACAAACAGAATTGTAAGACAGTATTAATGGAAAATAACACATCACTTTTCCTGCAATGAAAAGCTTCCATGTTGTAAGACAAATACACAAGCAAGCAAGAGAAAAAGATTTAATTCCCCCCCACAAGTCTTCTCATTAGCAGATTAGAACAACCAAAAGGTCATATTGATTTGAAAAGTAGCATGATGCATGCACCCTACCTTCTTTTTTGCTTGTGAAATTCCCTAAAGGTAGGAAAACAGATTGCTCATAACTTTCAATAAAAACAGGTTGGTTTTAAGTATTGTCCCTCCCCATCAAAGCACCAGCAAAATTATTTCAACAAGAGAGTTCTGAATTCGAAGAAATATGTGCCCAAATACAGTAGTAAATTACAACTAGAATCGGCCCACTGAAACAGTAGAACTTACACAGTTGCTGACTCACCAAATCCCCAATTATTCAATGGGCCTACTCTAGCTGCAATTTACTACTTGATTTCAACATCACCATTATCATCTTAGAATGCAGAGCTGGAAGGAATACTATGGATCATCAAGTCCAGCCCCTATGAAGGAGGCACAGTGTGGAATCAAACTCCCAATCACAGGCTCCTTAGCCAGATACTTGAACCATTGAACTACAGTGAAGTGACTTACGAAATTAAGCCGTATTGGACTGGTGGCCGTAACGCAAAAATTTCGTAAGTCAAAGCACCATTTCCCATAGGAATGCACTGAAAACCAATTAATCCATTCCGGCCAAAGAAAAAAAATCCCAGGCTTCCAAAGCTGCACCCACTGCCCTCTGCCTCCTGTCCCCGCTGCCCGCTGCCTCCCGTCCCCCAGGTCGAGAGGCAACGGGGACTGGAAGCTCCAGCCGCAAGTCGAAGCAAAATTTTGCGACCAGAGCTTTTTGTAACTCACATTTTTTTTAAGTAGGGACCCCACTGTATTCAGCAGTTCAACTATTTTTGTTGTTGTTTAGTTGTTTAGTTGTGTCCGACTCTTTGTGACACCATGGACCAGAGCACACCAGTTCAACTATAGATTATTTAAAAATACGGTTTTCAAAGTAGGATCCATGTTAGGCCCTGCATGAATATCCAGACAAAAACAAAACAAAACACAAAAGCAGAGTGGCATCTTACTGTTAGTCTTGTATGTGCCACTATATTTTTTAGTTTAGTTTTTTTACTAATGTTGTTATTTGTTCTGAAGATGCAAGTTATTTTGTATTTCCACATAAAACACCCACATCCAGAGTATGAATAATTTCTGCAGCCATAGCTACATTTCCCCCCATGGCTGTTTTGTTTTCTTTTGTTACCTCTCCCCCCACACCAACACCATGTCCCTTCTCTTGTTCAAAGAACCTCTCTCTCTGTTCACACTCCTCCTCCAAATCTCCATTAAAATCCTATTTTACTCATTCCCAGAGTTTTTTGACCAAAAAAATGAATGGCAGCATAAGTATACTTTCACCTAGTAAATTGGCTGGCACTGGAAATGTAAAAATAAACAGGACCTTTTACCTGAGAAAGGTAACGTCTGTAGTCTTGTCGAAGCTCCTCCTTTAACTTGTGCTTTTTATGTTCATATTCTTCCCCAAGAGGCAAGCTTAAGCCATCGTCTGCAAAATGTAATTAAGTTCTTAGACATGTTGTATGCAATCAATATGCATGTTTATGTGTGAGAGATTGTTGTATACCAAAAATTATAGTCAAGGACAGAAAATTGGGCTTTTCCCTCCGTACAATTACTGAATGAAACTGGTCTTGTTTAAGCTGGTGGCGGTAATTACTTTGCTGCTGACTGGAAATTTATGAAGCCAAGTGGTAAATCCAAATTTAGAAGCATCTACATTGGACATTTAATCCATATTTTGCATCAGATTTTGCAGGAGTGAAATCAAACAGAAAACCAGCAAGTACACAGCACAAAGCTAAGCACAGGGAAGCCTAATGGGGAACTCTCTTTTTAGTGGGAATTTGTCTTCAATTCAGCTGACAGAAGCTTAATTTTGCTTCACACTAGATTTGCTTTTCTGTTTTTTGCTCTGAGTAACTGTCCAATCCAATGCAAAGGAGTGTCTGAGGGGGGCTGTCAGTTTCTCTCAACCAAGTGCCTATTGTCTCAAAACTGTTTTTAAAAGGGGGTTTCCAAAGTCAGCACTATTATTTTTTCTTTCTCTCTTCTTATTCCATTTTGCTAACTTTTAATCCAATTGTATTAATATATTAATTGTATTTTATGATTATTTATATTTTATATTGTCCTATTTTATGTTGTAAGCCGCCCCGAGTAGACATGGTCTAGAGGGGTGGGGTATAAATGTAATAAATAAATTTAATAATAAATAAAACAAATTATCACTAAGCTACTTTTGAAAAATAAATCTAAATAGAGGGAAAGATATGACACAAATCCTGAAATGTATCAAAACATGTACGATCTATGTGATGCACATGCAACCCTTCTTCCCATGGGTAGCCTGTGACCAGACCCAGAAGGCATCTGCCTGAAGATCTGTGAAAAATGTCTCCCACTCCATCCATATCCCACCCCAACTTCCTCCTTCTTCCATATATTTTCTGGAGAGACAGATTATAGCTCAGAGGGACAGCAAACACCTTGAATACAGAAGGTCCCATGCTCAATTACTAGAATCTCTAGTGTTCTGTTTAAAAGAGAGAGAGAGAGAGAAAGAAACACAAGACCAGACATCTAAGTGATGGGAAGACCTCAGCCTAGGACCATGGAGAACAGCTCCTGTAAGAACAGATAACATTTCTTCAACCATTTCAAGCAGGTCTTCACACTGGCTCACACATGCACAGCCATGACTGTAGTGATCAATTTTACACAGATATAGAAACCTGAACTTTAAGCAGACCATTATAATGACTATGGAAGAATGACATTACTTTAATATTGACAATGAAGAAAATGAACTTGTTAAAAAGACTTTCTGTACCTTGGTTCTATCAGCAATCAAAATGGGGACTGCAGCAAAAGTATTAGAAGACTAAGACATGGAAGGGCAGCAATGAAGGAATTAGAAAATACATTAAGAGTAAGAATGTGAAACTGGAGACCAAGATCAAGCTCATCTACAGTATACAATGGCATTCCTGATTATTACTTATAGGTGTGACAGGTGAGCAAAGAAAGCTGATGGGGGGGAGGGAAATGACTCATTTGAAATGTGGTGTTGGCAGAAAGCTCTATGGATACCACAAACTACCAAAACGACAAATAAGTGAGTGCTAGATGACATGAAGCCTGAACTCTCACTAGAGGTTTGAATTCTCACTAACCTAAGGCTATCATCATGAGAAGACAAGTCTTGCTGGAAAAGTGGGAGGCAGCAGAAAAGCAGAAAGACCTAATAGCAAATGGAAACTAGTCTTCAATTTGCAAGATTTGAAACGGCTGGTAACGGTAGAGCCTTTTGGAGGGCTCAATTTTATAGCGTTGCCATAAACTAGTAACTAATTGATGGCACATCATTACAACACAGAAGTTGTATCACCTCACTTTCCTACCAACATAATACTTTTCAAGAAAGCCAGCTCACACTTACAACATTACAGCATTTGAATTAAAGTTATTATTAAAATTCATTTATTTAAAACATATATTCAATCAATCAATATGTTTTAAATAAATGAATTTTAATAATAACTTTAATTCAAATGCTGGAATCTACTTTTTAAAAAGACACTTAAGACAAAGGTCTAGTTCTGCTCTCCCAAGTCATTATACCCTGAAATGTGAAGAGGAGACTACTCCAAAACCAGAAAAAGATAAATGCTGGATCTACATCTATGCACATTTACACTGAAGTAAGCATTACTCAGTTCAGTGGGCTTTCCTCTGAGTAAACTTACATAGGATGAAACTGTACAGATCTCAGTACTTTCTAAAAGAAACTGGAATTCAAAAAATGGTACATTTTCTGGTATGGAAGTGTGCTCTCCAGAAAAAGATAATGGAGTGCTTTATCAAATCAGTAAGTTTGTAGAATGTGGAGTGTCTTCAAAACCAAAAAGCATTTATACATTTATTTAATTTTAATCAGGTTTATCATCAAACAGATCTCCAGTTTATCAGAGTAATACAACTGAAAGGACATGACAGTGCATTTTGAGGCTAAAATCTCATCTCTGCGCCTCATAATGCATGTTACACTATGACAACAGAAACAGCAAGCCCTATGCATGTTATTCCTTTGTGATATCATGGAAATATTTCAACAGAGATACCCAAGAGGTAAAGAAAATTGCAGCCCAGTGAAAGGCAGGATTCTCTATCCACCCAATGCCATGGCAGAACTCTTTTCATGGGCAATTTAATTTCATGACCTCCCAGATGAACCCAGGACAACCAGAATACTGTACACATAAACATGTCCACTAAACCTTTGGCTCACTTTTTTTCTCCAAACACTTTGCAGTTTACTAACTACAATTGGAAACATTAAAGCCCTAAAGCTGACATATAAAGCCCTAAACGGTTTAGGACCTCAATATCTGGCGAAACGCCTTCTCTAAATGAGCAGGATATAATTAAACGCCTTCTCTAAATGGGCAGGATATAAATTAAATAAATAAAAATTAACCAGCAGCATCAAATTCAACAGTAGCTTATCTTGTCAGCCGCAGCCTGCACTGGTAAGTAACATGAGCAGTTGTTTATCTGTCTAGCATAGATGCATGGTATCTGCAGACGTACCAAGAGCTACTAATAACAGCTCATGCTAACTATGACAGCAAAATAGAACCTCTGTTCACAGAGGCAGTTTAACTTGGGATACCAATTGCGAGGACAAAAGTGAAAACTCATAATAACCTTTACTGCCCTTCCTATGAAATTCCAGTCAGTGGTATCCAGCTGGCCATGAACATGACAGAAATAAAAGGCTACACTAGATGACCCTAATTCTGAGAATTTAAGGCAGTTCTTACATTCTAAGATACACTACACTTAGGAGTCAAAAATCATTCATGGATCACATACTTTTGGGGTGCTGTCATGATGTTATCTGACAGGTGTCTGAGGGGAGGCAACAATGAATTGTCATTTTAGGTCATTTCAGTGATGTCATTTTTACCTACTTTCAGACTACTTTTAACAGTGTATAGCTTTAGTCATGTTCAGCAAGGGTATCTCATAACAGCTGCTGCTATTTCATAAGGCTCCTTTCATGTTTCTCTGACTTGTAAATTATCTTTAAGATATCTTGGTCTTTCGGAATTGCAAAAAAAAACCTTAGAAAATTAATTTTTACTGAAATAATTTACTTCAAAATGTCTGGATTTTCAGGAAATATTTTTCTAGCAAAACAAGATAGCTATTCTGACTACACTGGTGCCTCGCATAGCGAGGTTAATCCGTTCCGGATTAACCCTTGCTAAGTGAAAACATCGCTAAACGGAACGTAAAAACCCATTGGAACGCATTAAACATCGTTTAATGCGTTCCAATGGGCCCTAAACTTACCGTTCAGCGAAGTTTCCTCCATAGCGGCAGCCATTTTCACGCCCTCGGTAAGCGAGGGGAGGGCGCGAAAACGCTGCGTGCGGCCATTTCAGGCATCCGGCGGCCATTTTAGAACCACCGAACAGCTGATCCGCGGGCATCGCAAAGCGAAGATCGGTAAGCGAAACGCTTACCGATCGTCTCTAAGCGAGTTTTGCCCACTGGAACGATCGGTATGCCTCTGCATTAGCGATCCCGACAAAGGGATCGCTATGCGGATTCGTCGTTATACGGTGCGCTCGTTAAGCGAGGCACCACTGTACTTATAAGGATTAACAAAACATCCAGATCCTACTGAATAGGGCAAATGTTTCTTCATAACAAATAACAGTGTTGAACTATAATTATTCTACTTCAGAGTATGAACTCTTTTTCCTCCAGATACAATACTACTGACCTTGTATAATTTCTGCTCCAGAAAGGAAAAACAATACAGAAAGATTATTGGGGGGGACTGGACTAAGGCAAATTATTAAGCAAATCTTTCCAATTCCCTTCATCTGGGGACAATATGGGACTGTGCATCTTGTCCAAGGCCACATAGCTGCCTCTTCTGGGATGTACAGTGGGGATTCAAACTCTCAACCTCTGGCTCCACAACCAGATGGCTAACTCACTGAGCTTTCCATCCTAACAGTGATAATGTCCAAAATCCTTCTGTATATTGTATTGTATATATTGATCAAAATCCAATTGTTTGATCCAATGCAAATAGACACATTGAACTGACTGTTGACTTAACAAGTCCCACTCATTCATTGGGTCTACTCTAGTTGGGGCTATCAACTGGATTTAGTCCACTGTATTTATTACTTTATTGTATGTTGCCCTGACAATCCTGCAACATTAGTATTTTTAGATGATAAAGACAAGACAAAAAAACAACTTGCCAGGAACCATGCATTACATTAAAATTAACCATAGCATGTTAGTATAAAGACTGTCTGTTATTTTTCTGTTTTCTTTCAAATAAGGAGCTCATGTGTCCAGAAAGGATCAAGAAACTTTGAGTTCAGTGCAGGGAGATTATATTGTCTGAGCTGGGGGATCTAAAGTTTCTAGATTTTTAGTTCTCACAGAGTCTATGTGGCAACACCACTGTTTCACCAAATGCGATCCACTTAACCCCCAATTGTCTGCATAATCCCTTCCTACAGTATATCCTAAAACAATGTGCAGATAAAGAGGACTCAAGATCAGTTTCCCCCCCCTTCTTCTGACCCCATTTATTTTTAATATCTTGCCTGAGGAAGAGAGTAAATTTTCATAAGCTAGTCTTGGAAGTATTTTAATGCCTCTGGACATTTTCTCTGTCTTTCTGGTTGTTTGACAAAGTTATCAATCCATTACTGGGCATGCAGAGAAAGTCCATGCTAAGATTAAGATTTGAATAATGTGAAATTCAACTCTATGTCTTTAGATAGCAAGAGGCATTGTGTCACGCTACCTCTGCTACAAGAAACACATAAACAACTTACAAATTAGAAGTGCATCATTGATCCAAACGTTATGTAGTCTTGTCTTTGATAGTGAGTACAACTTTGTAGCATTAAGTACTAGCACATTCTCACAAAATACTGAAAGAAATTCTGTATCTTTGTTAACAAACGTGTGTGTATGTGTACATGCTTATACACACACAGAGAGAGAGAGAGAGAGAGAGAGAGAGAGAGAGATACACATCTGATAAAAGTAGGACCCATTATAAGCATCACTTACTTATAGAGCTTCAGTCAGGCTTTTGGTAGCAGCATTTGCTATGCAAAGGAGTATGCACAGTCTCAGGTTTAACATCCATCTATGGAAGTGCTTCTTTTATGGCTTGCAGCCAGGACATATTTTACTCTACTACTGAGTTGGGAAGTCTACCTATTCCAATCTTAAAATCCTATTGCTTCACTAGGAAGCAACACAGCTGCTGCTCTTCTTTCAGAAAGAAAGACTCATTCCAGAATTTAAAGCAACTAACAACAACTTTCCACCCAAACATATAATTTCTAATTTCTGTTTGGAATTAGTTAAATATAAATTTCTATGATCATTTCCGCAAATGATCCAGTGTCACTCTTAGGATGAAAAGACTCTTGATCACAGATGGAAGCCACAGTAAATTACAGCCTTATTTAAGCAGGAAAGAAGCAATTATACTGAGAAAAAATAAATATGTTGCTAGTAACAACCAAGTTGAAGCATGAACCCCTCTATAGGATGTATCTTTTCAGTACATTCAGAATAAAAAACTGGAACATACAGTATGTGGAAGGAGATTTCAATTCCACTCCAACTAAGAAGATACTAAGCACTCAAAGAAGGAGAAATACACCTTAAAACATAAATAATAACAAAAACGTAGCTTAAATAACAATACCATTTTCAAAGAATACAAATAACCACACACAAAAATTAAAAGACACAATTTTAAAAAGTGATGATCTTTTAACTTTAAAAATTTGAAACCGGTGAAAAGCAACTGAATAGCTTAATTTCACAGATAGGAAAGACTCTAGAGAACATATATGTGCAATGAGGGCCAAAATAAATTCAGGATCCGTATTTTCAAAATGTTGTAAGAAATCTTAGCCACTAAAGATTGCAAAAAATTAAAATCAAATAAAAAGAATGGCAGCAGTGCAATCCAAACTCAAAGATACACCAGCTATAGAATCAGCAAAGCCTCTTGTGCCAGTACAACCCCCTTACGCTGACTGCTCTTCAATATGACAGCACAACTATTTATTTATTTATTTATTTATTTAATTTCTATCCCGCCTATCTGGACGTATTAGCCCACTCTAGGTGGCTAGATCTAGATCTACCAGCGCAGCTTCCTGCACTTCTTCATTCATGTCAGAAGCAATCCAATGGTGCTTCTGGAGTGGAAAAATCAGATGACAGGGTGCTGTCATTACTCAGGAGATGCCCAAATGTATTCATTTTTTCATGGAGAAGGCTTCCATGTCCTCAGCTACCATGGTGGTTGAGACCAACCAGTCAAAAAGAGAGAGAGAGACAGACAGACAGAAGCAGAAGAACTAAATCATGTCAAATCCAAATACCTTCTCAGCTCACATTCACCACCATTCAGCCAGAATAAATTTAAAACAGGATCACGGCAGTCCTAAATATTAACCACAAACCCTAGTCTGGGAGGGGTATAGACTCAGCACAGCATTAGTTGTATCAACTTAATCAGCTGTCTATCACCTTGGCTAGCTAAGACTGTAGCCTATGTAGGTAGGAAAAACACTCTACTGTAACACAAAAGGGGGTTAAAAAAATCATTTACTGATGACTGCAACAATATTTCACTACATAGCAACAGTTATGAAAAGCACCACATCCAAATCATCTTGTAGGACTGATTCTGATTAATTAGGCATGCAGATAGATACGGAGACATAGTGAAATTTTTCCTTAATGTAAGAAATTAACCATTTTGTTAAAAATTAGCATATAAATACCACGTATACCAGTCTGTTGACTATTTGGTGGGATATTTTCTTTAGCCATGGATATCAACATTTTGCTGGTTTCCGAAAGCATCCCTTCACCTTTGTTCTGCAAAGTAAAAAAAACAAACAAACAGGTAAACCAGAATTAACAAACTTCACCATAACATCATTCTATAATTTCTGTTAGTTTCTTTAAACCTGACAGAAAGACAGATATTTTTCTGCTGTTTTTCAGAGGGGACTGACCCTGAAATAAATGTCCTTCCCTGATTAGGGCTTGCTAGTACATGCCAAAACATGACTTTCAAATGATAGATTGTCGAACATTTAGATGATTGCATTCTGACACACACTCCACATCTTGCTCTTCTGATGTCTCTCTTTCCATTTTCTAACATAATACATGGGAAATTCCAGCACAAAAAAGAAACCGAATGGTTCAAAGGTTTGTTAAAACGTTCCATTATCACAATGCAAATATATACCTCTAGTAGCCTCTTTTGAGAGGTAAAGCAGACATAAGCAGTTCAAAATCAAAATAGCAACATTATTCACTCCAGTGCAATTTATAACAACAAAGCAGCAGCAAGGGATAGGGAGGAATTGAACTAGATCAGGAGCATGGCCTCAAGAAGGTCCTGCTATGTACTATATCCAAATGGAGGAAAAAGTACACTGGATCATTCACCATATTGGTGTGGTAGTCTAACTCTTATCTGAACAACAGCAGAAGGGTTAAAGAGCCCTCAGCCATGTCAGAATTTCAAAATGTCTCACACACCTTGTTTTGTTTTTCTTTTCTTTTTTAAATTATATAAGGACTAATAATACATCATGACTAGTGTGTTTCTTCACTATATCTAGTCCGAAGGCAGCACAACTCTTTTATCTTCATGGCACAAAATTTCAACGTATATATTCAGAGTGAAAGACTCTCTATCTGGTATATTCACATTAAAAATATATATGCAGAACAGCCAAAGTAGTAGATCTTGCAACTCTAGCTGCAAAAAGTCCTTATCCACAGTGAGAAACATTAATCTAATTTACAGTTCTATGGCTCAACAATTTTAGTACCCAAAATGGCAGTGAAGTGTCAAAACATTCCTTTTCCCACCTGAGAAAACATCTAAGTACAGTGTGAGCTGTTTCTGTCACTCAGTTTAGGATAGCATAATGAAAAAAAATGCAGTCTAAAATCTGACTCTTTTAAAAAAAGATGCCTCAGATTAGGTTTATATTAAATGCAAAGTAGCGAAAGGAAGTAGCAAATCTCTTAAAGAAGAATAATGATATCACATTTCCTGGAGGTCTGCTCTCATTATTATTTTAAACTTTTGGGCCCCTTTACATAAAATATTTAAAGTGTCACACTTGTTACATTTAAATAAATTTCATTCACCTTGCCCCAATTGAGACAGTACCCTTGTTTATTTAATTTATCTCCTGGACTACAACTCAAGGATGTTTACACAAGGTTGCTAAATCACACCTAAGAGAACTGTAAGTTCATGCAATGTGTCTGTTTGACAAGCCGTTTTTGCAATCAGCTTGTAAAACAGAATCCATAAACTTGAATTGCTCTGTAACTCACAATTTGTACTAACATTTTAGCACCAGGTCAGAAATGACAAAACATAACTACAGTATAGCCAATCCTTTGCCTGGTATATCTTGAAATGAATGCAGAGCAGTTGCAGAAATGAAACAAGCAACTGACATTCATAGTTTCTGGTGCATTTGGAACTTCAAGCCACAGTTTGGATTCCAAATTGGGGTTAGTATAAACAGCTGTTTGTGTAAACCATAGTCTTGCATGAAATATGAACAGAGCTGCTACATTTAGGACTACAAACAAAGATGCAGAGAAGAAAGATAGCTACTTCTCATTTACAAATATATGCACAGGAACTATATGGATAAGCTGACAATTTAACAACTTCTTTTTTGTCCAGAAAGTATTCTATACAATTCAAAGGTAGCATTAAATAATAAACAGTTTTCACAAGACAAACTAGCTTCATAGATGGAACCAATTCTATAAGCAGTAATCTGCTCCAGAACCAGTAAAACTGCCCTCCTGCTTCATCTGCTATGTCCCCCACAAACAAAATTTAACAAAGGAGAATATACAAAGTAGCAACCATGTTGAGATGGCCTATCTTGTACCAGTCCAGCCAGGCTACTGAAAAAGACACAAGAAAAATGTAATTCAGAAATTCTTTTTTCCCCCTGCTCAACCATCAATGTTGGCCACGAGAGCCTGATCTAACAACACTGGGATTATGATTAACTTTACTATGATTAATGTCAAGGGCCGCTGGGTTCAGAGAGGCCCATACTTACCACTCAGCCACTCCACTCTAGCTGCCCTGGTATGAGTGAATCCAGGAGGGCCAAATGTGCTGATGGCTAAGGGAACCTTCCTCCCCTGCAACCCCATAACAACTTTGTCTCACAACACTCGATGGATCGAAACCATCCTCTGCTAGCAGGATTAAACAGTGCTTCCAGGAAGTTCCCCAAAATGCACAAGGTTAAGCACAGTAGAGGGTGCCTCTCAAAGACACTACAGTCCCTTACTGCTGTTCAGTTACCAATGAACTTAGAAAAATCCACCCATTCCTTAAATGCAGTCACTGCAGACAGAGCCTTGGCAAATAATAAGTGTGTATCATAAAACAACTCTGAGACCTTGGATTTTTTTGGCTACAGCTACCAGAATTCTAGCTGGGAGAACTTCTGCTGAATTATGGTAGCTGTAGTTGGAAAAAAAAATCCAAAAAGACCATGCCTATGAAATACCTCTAAAGTAGAAAAAATATTTTATAATTATTTTTAAATTTTAATTTTGAATTAATTAATATTTAAGTTTTAAATATTTTTCACATAATTTAATGTGTAAAAGTCTTGCATTTTACCTGCATTTCCATATAAGGGGGATCATTTTCAAGTTTTGCCTTGTCTTGTGCCAGCTTGGCTTTTTGGTCTTCAAGGAACTGATCCAGGTCTTCTGCCATCACTTTTTGGACTCTGGTAATGATACAGAGTTATGAAAGGTAATACAGCAGGTTTTCTAAAAAAAAAATAATAAGAAAAAAAAGGACTATTGTATTAAGAGCTATAAGTTACTGTGAGATGAGGGGGCGAGAGTAGTGGTCCTCTCGCAGGAGTGCTGTCCTTCCCCCACACTGTTGAGAGAGAAGTACAGACCCTACCCACTTCACCTCCTAAGAAAACAGAACAACAGGGGACAGACACCCGGGAATTGGAAAGAGAGATATAAGGGTTAACGGTCGAGGGAACCCAAGAGAGATTGAACAGAACGGAGAAAGAGGGTGGAGATAGAGGTTGGAACAGCAGAGAAAAAAAGGAAGGAGGGAAAGTTGCCTCCAGGTTGGGAATGGGTCTGGATGGAGGATCCATGGACTGGAGTTTGGGAAAGACTAAGAGTACCAAAGGAAGAGGCTGATTACAGGAGGAGGAGAGGGATCCCTCCCCCGAGACTCTCTTATTGGGGAGAAGCTGAAACCAGGGAGTGGCAGAGGAAGGGAGGAAAAGAGTGGAAAAAGAGAGGAGGGAGAGATTAGAAAGCTGAAGCCAGGGAGTGGCAGAGGAAGTTAAGGGAGGAAAAGGAAAGAGTAGAAAAAGAGAGGAGGGAGAGATTAGATTGGAGAGTGAGCGAGATGAAGAGGAGAGAATACAGGGAGGACCCTGGGCGAACCTCATATCAACCGGACATGCCGGGTGGAATGAAGTCCGAGATGATGACACCATACCCTTACTGGAGGGAGAGGTTGGACAGACGGTGAAGCCAGAGGTGTAGACAGACTGGCCGGGTCCATGGAACGCGTCAGATGGGAACCCATTTCTAGTTGAAGGGTGGAAGCCCCTGTCTGACCCATTGTCAGGAGAAAAGTTATGGGACAATTTTGTTGATACTGGTTACCTGTTAAATACTCCAATAAACCTTACCCATGTTTCAAAGTCACACAAATCTCCTGATTTATTTGAAAGAAAAAGGGAACCAAAGGTCGAGCCCTCACAGTCACTCAACATTAATCATAAATGTACATAGGAAAAAGTACAAGTTCTTTTTCTAAATAACTCATATTTCTGCAAGATCTCAGAATAAATCTGCAACTTGCTATACCCTCACAACCAATACAGAATGTCACTTTAAAGCAGAATGAGAGCCCATTCTTCCTTGGGGATGCCACAACAATCCGAGCACACACACTGCTGAAGTGAGCCCAATTCCACACCCATCTTAGAAAACTGCAGAAGCCACATTCAAAAAGAGCAATAAAAATCTGATTCAATAATATGGAAATAAGATCTTGCCACAATACATTGCCAATGAAAGGTTTTAGAATGCATAACTACCATGCAGAGGGACAAAGACTAATCTTTCCTATTCCACCATAACACGTATACACATATATCCTGCAGTTAAGCTTGAAAAAGCCTTCCAATGGTACCAACATTTTCCCCCAAAATCTAACTGCTGCAAACATGGGTGGGGGGATTGGAACTGGAGGGGAGAGTTAGCCCATCCCCAGTTCAACTGGTCTCACTCATTTCTGGTCATTTCTATTGTGGTATACATCCTCCAAGTACTTTGCCACTGAACATGGTGCAGCCCTTTGACAGAAAAAAGCTTCCCTCCCCCGAATACACCAAAAATCAGAAACTAAAATATTTAAACCCTACACTAATGCAAGAATTTGCATAATTCATCCCAGTCCTTATTTGGTACTGTAAATACTGTATCTGGAAATGTGCAGTGTATCTACAGTGAACATTTAAAAGCATGCAACTTTTCATATTTAATTCTCAGTTTATGTTACAGTTTACTTCATGTACAATACCTACACTTGTAAACCACTTTGTCACAGAGAAGCAAAACTATTTTCTCCTTACGATTACCCACTCAAATCAAAATCAAATCAATTTATTGCCGTTGTAAGTATATACGTAGTATACCCATACAACGAAATTCACACAGACACCCAGAGACCAGACCCACATGCACGCACATAAAAAATCCCCACGCTCCACCCACTAAAAATCCCCCACTAAGAATATAAACATCTACACCACAGGCTAAGGAACACTGTCCAACTATTCACTACCGGTGGTCTTTAAGCTCATTATTAAGTGCAATTATAGCTCTGACAATTCCAGTGCTAGCACTATCAGAATCACAATGAATGCAATAATTCTTTGAAATCATTCCACCTCTCCAGCTTTTCTCTATGCCCAACATCCGCAGGTAAAAAACATATCTGACTAAAGTATAGCCTAAAAACCTTTCCCTGCCAGCCTTCCTAGAAAGCCCTAAGCAGGAAAAAATATACTAGAAATCATAGCTTCCTGTAAGATGAGGATCACTAGAACCTGTGCTCAACATTTTAGAAAAAACATAGAGGGACCTCTGACAAAATATATTGCTCACAACTCACAGTAGGCCAAGAACACTGCAATGGGATCAAAGTGGCCCAGCTTCCTGACATGCACACACATAAATCCCCAAACACTCTCCACCCTCTAAAAATCCCCCACTAAGAATACAAATATCTACACTGGAGGCTAAGTAACACTGTCCAAGTATTCACTTCCGGTGGTCCTTAAGCTCATTATTACCGTATATGTCAGTGTACAAGACGACTTTTGGGGGCCCCAAAACACGCCTCCAAGTGGGGGCCCATCTTGTACGCCGGGTGCCAGGAAGAAGCCACCACCGCCACCGAGAGAGTGAGGGAGAGAGGGAAGCGGCACACACTCACTCACCCACCACCCCCGCTTTCCCTCTTCCTCCTCCTACTCCTCCACTTTCCCTTTTCCTCCTCCTCCTCCTCCTCCTGCCGCCGCTGGGGAGGAATGCAGGCAGGCAGGCAGATGGAGGGAGGGAAGCGGTGCGTGCGCGCTCACCGGCCAGGCGGAGGGAAGGAAGCGGCCCCCCCTCTTCCTGCCGCCGCCCCCCAAGCCTCTTCCCGGTGCCGCATTTTGGGGGGGGGGGTCGTCTAATACGGCCCGTCGCCTAGTACGGCGGCATATACGGTAAGTGTAATTATAGCTCTGACAATTCCAGCACTAGTACTATCAGAATCACAATAAATTCAATAATTCTGGTCTTTGAAATCATTCCACCTTTCCAGCTTTTCTCTATGCCCAACATCCCCAGAAAAAAGCAGAACATGTCTGACTAAAGTATAGTCTAAAAACCTTCCCCTGCCAGCCTTCCTAGAAAGCCCTAAGCAGGAAAAAAATTATACTAGAAATCATAGCTTCCTGTAACATGAGGATCACTAGAACCTGTGCACACCATTTCAGAAAAACCACAGCGAGACCTGACAAAATATATTGCTCATAACTCACAGTAGGCCAAGAACACTGCACTGGGGTCAAAGTGGACCAGCTTCACCAAACCACTTACCATCTGAAATGCTTCCTTACGAGAACACCAAATGCAAAACATGAGCAGAGCAGATTTTCTCAACCAACAATAGTGTTAAACCCTTTAAACAGAATCTACCCGCAGTAATTCTGCTTCATCTCCAACCCAATTGTCTGCTTCATTTGCCATCAGTTTCTCACAAACCAGATTTAACAAAGGAGTGTGTGAAAGATGATGTGAGGCAGCAACCACATGAAGATGGCTTGTCCTTTACCAGTCCAGTCAGGCTACTGAAGAAAATGGCTGTCAATGTCAGGGACAACAGAAAATAAATATACCAGAAGGTTTCTGAAATTGGTTTTATAAGTTTCTCTAGATAAATGCCTATTTATTGGTCTACCACATCTGATAACACATTCAGAAGATTGAGATTTTTGCCTCAGAAAGAAATGATTATCATATTTTTACACTCAACATCTAGAGTACCTATTTTCAGACCTGTGCTTAACATCAAACCTGAAAGTCCATCTCAGTTTCAGTTCTTATTTGAGATAAATACTGTATGTGTCATTATGACAATGAAGTCACTTCTGTGTATATGCTCATGGCTCATGACAATGAATTTCAATGATCTTTGAAATCATTCCACCTTTCCAGCTTTTCTCTATGCCCAACATCCCCAGAAAAAAGCAGAACATGTCTGACTAAAGTATAGTCTAAAAACCTTCCCCTGCCAGCCTTCCTAGAAAGCCCTAAGCAGGAAAAAAATTATACTAGAAATCATAGCTTCCTGTAACATGAGGATCACTAGAACCTGTGCACACCATTTCAGAAAAACCACAGCGAGACCTGACAAAATATATTGCTCATAACTCACAGTAGGCCAAGAACACTGCACTGGGGTCAAAGTGGACCAGCTTCACCAAACCACTTACCATCTGAAATGCTTCCTTACGAGAACACCAAATGCAAAACATGAGCAGAGCAGATTTTCTCAACCAACAATAGTGTTAAACCCTTTAAACAGAATCTACCCGCAGTAATTCTGCTTCATCTCCAACCCAATTGTCTGCTTCATTTGCCATCAGTTTCTCACAAACCAGATTTAACAAAGGAGTGTGTGAAAGTTGATGTGAGGAAGCAACCACATGAAGATGGCTTGTCCTTTACCAGTCCAGTCAGGCTACTGAAGAAAATGGCTGTCAATGTCAGGGACAACAGAAAATAAATATACCAGAAGGTTTCTGAAATTGGTTTTATAAGTTTCTCTAGATAAATGCCTATTTATTGGTCTACCACATCTGATAACACATTCAGAAGATTGAGATTTTTGCCTCAGAAAGAAATGATTATCATATTTTTACACTCAACATCTAGAGTACCTATTTTCAGACCTGTGCTTAACATCAAACCTGAAAGTCCATCTCAGTTTCAGTTCTTATTTGAGATAAATACTGTATGTGTCATTATGACAATGAAGTCACTTCTGTGTATATGCTCATGGCTCATGACAATGAATTTCAATGATCTCAACACCACTTACCCAGAAATACTGTGGTTGGATTGCTGTGGCCATCATGGCAAGATTCACAAACTATTGAACAGAATTTCATTTCCGTCATGGATGTTCAAAGTATCTGGAAGATTCTGCCAGAAATATAGATTACCATGGATTTGACATGGACTTTTACAGGCATTATTCTGTTGTTGCTAGATTGAATGTTTTTGGAAGTTCCATGTTAAGGATTACTTTGTTTTGTGAGATAACCATGCCATGTTAAGATGTTATAATAAAACTATTTTGGGGTGTCATAAGAAGTTTTTCATAAATGTCCATTCTAAACATATATAGGGGTTTCCTTGGGGGGGGGACGTGTAAGTCTGTTGCAGTTTGTGGACCGCAATGGCTATGATCTTTCAAAATTTGGCTCCTCTGGGATGGGAGGCACGGGCCAACAAGACCAAGGCAACCCACAAGTTATTCCTCTGTGCTTTAGGGCCTCAGAAGGTTGTGCCTTGGCTTCTTCAAACCACTAAGTTTTTCCCTTTAATTATTCCACTTGTATTTTGGCACAGAAAGATTGTCCAGACCATAACAGGGGAGTTAAAAGGCATATAACACAGAGCGAATTGCAGAGGGCCGTGTTGCTCAGGGGGCAAGGCGTAGGACTCCATTAAGGCCAGCAGCCTCCCCCACCCCCCAGTCGCAGGCAGCCGGTCTCTTTAAGAAGCGCCTCGGCGTTGTTAGGCAACCAGAGGACAACAAGCAGGAAGGCCTCGCCGCCCGGGTTTTCTCTGTGGAAACGCCAACTCTCTGCGCAGGCACCTCAAGCCCGGCGGGTGAACCGGCGTCTTTCCCCCCCCCCAAACCACACGTCTAGTCGACACGCACACGCGCCCTTATATACTCGGAATGCCTCCCACACACACTCAACGAGGGCGGGGGTGGGTCCTTCAGGGCCCCCTTCGAAGAAAAGTGGCACCGACCCTCCACGTACTCACACACACCCCCTTCCCTCTACCTCTCGCCCCTCCTCAAGCGCGTTATAATAAAACTATTTTGGGGTGTCATAAGAAGTTTTTCATAAATGTCCATTCTAAACATATGGTTTTCCTTGGGGGGGGGACTTGTAAGTCTGTTGCAGTTTGTGGACCGCAATGGCTATGATCTTTCAAAATTTGGCTACTCTGGGATGGGAGGCACGGGCCAACAAGACCAAGGCAACCCACAAGTTATTCCTCTGTGCTTTAGGGCCTCAGAAGGTTGTGCCTTGGCTTCTTCAAACCACTAAGTTTTTCCCTTTAATTATTCCACTTGTATTTTGGCACAGAAAGATTGTCCAGACCATAACAGGGGGGAGTTAAAAGACATATAACACAGAGCGAATTGCAGAGGGCAGTGTTGCTCAGTGGGCAAGGCGTAGGACTCCATTAAGGTCACCACCAGCAGCAGCCTCCCCCCCCCCCCCCGCCCCCGGGCCCCG